AGAGTAGCGTAAGTAAAAGAGGCATGCGTTTGATGGCGCATAGTTTTGCATGATACAAGAGCCATTTAATCTAAAACGGGATCTAAGCGGATGCTTTCAGAACCGCGCTGTAAACTTTAAACACTCCCGCAAAGTTTAATTCTGGTCGCTACGAACTATGACACAAAATACGCAATGATCATTAATATAGTTACATCATCGTGAGAAGTTTCCAAGAAATACTAGAGAATGTTAAACTGCTGTATAAAACGACTATCTTCTAAGTACGAAGTCTCTATATAATCTAATACGGCACACACTTTTGTTAACAATCAAAATGCAACAACAAAAAGTGACAATACACGTACCAAACTGTCTGTTATTATTGTCAGATATAATCCGCAAAGAACTAAGACCGCAAAAGGTTAACCAAAGCCAAACCTGGTGGATAGGCAATCACATTTCTCAATAAATTGCCACAGAGTAGCTCTTGTCTATACTAGAAATAGTACTGACTGTACTATGGAAACAGTCTGTTTTCAATATCTTGTAATTGCCACAACTGCCAATTTCTGTCCCGTTATTGGAAACCAAATTGTCCACTGCGAATGATATTCTGTTTTTTATACGACTAATAACGACATTGATAGAAACGTCAATTTTTCACTCGTGCTTGATATTTTTATGCCAATATTTTTAATTATACGTTATATAAATATGTAGTACTACTACTAGTAACAGAGAAATGAACTCAAACGTGGCGTATGTAAAATGTAATTTTGAACGCATCGTATTCGACGACTAATCAATTTTGATGCTGGTTCCACATTGCAGTTACGTTCGCGACAAAAAGGTGCAATTAATGCACATATTGCGAGTAACGCGTATCGTCGGGAAACATGCAATTCTGAACGCATATCGTTCATTTAAGAAATTAAACACTCCTGCGTTTAATTGCTTACGTGAACCGCTAATAGTCTCTAATAATGAAGCACGAAGTACAAACGTTTAACCCACTTGCGAAAAAACATCGATTTTCACCAAGCTCTTTGTTACGACCCACTTTTCTCAGTGCGCAATACACGATGTTGCAGAACGACCAAAGCCAACGATGTATAAATCAGTTTGAGTACAGAGCTAAAAAAAATAAGATGACTTATATGTCACTCATATATACATAACTTTGAAGCGACCAATCTCCTTTGAAGGCCAATTTATTATTCAAATTATTAAAATGTATGAAATATTGATCGATTTCTTCAATAATGTTATACATAACCATCTATATGTTTTTACAATGTGTTTCACATCTTTTTTTTTAAATAGCAATTTATTATTTAAATTGTTAAAATGTATGAGATATTATTGAGCAATTTTTTCAGTAATGTTATATATAAGTACTTATATATTTTTACAGTGTGTTTCACTTTTTTTCAAATAGCATTTGGATTTTAATCAACTGCAAAACTTTTAGAAATTACTAACATTTGCGCAATAATCATAATAATAGGCAACCTCTGACCGCGAGCGATGTAAAGATCGTACCATGTACACACAACAAGATCTACCTTGCATCGACTCCGCTGTCATTCGCGCCCCATAATTTATCGCGCATCATATATCCATCTCGCTCGCAGAATGACTTTCAGCTGCTCGCTGATATCCACAATATCGCCGCTGTGCTGTTCGCTAAGTCCGAAAACCACTTAATCTTCGTCGGATGGAAACGTGAGGGGTGAATGGGTTTTGTGAGAAACAGAGAGTGCAAAGTGTAGCGGGAAAGAGGAAGAAGAGAGTAACAGTTGCGCTCTCGGAATTGCATACTGGCGAATCGAACTTTCCGGCACGAGCCGCGCCACCGATATATCATCCGCTATTCTGCTGAAGTCCGCGATCCGTTCCGATGCGTAATTACTGCCCAGTTAAGCGGCACAGCCGTACTGATTTAGATCCCAATAACTAACAAACGCATATATATATATATATATATAAGCTACGAACAGACGCGCATCAAGTTAGTTCTGCCCGTTCGACAATTTGAACGCGGAAGACGCGCGATTGCTGATGATAATCGAATTGAGAAAAGCTCGTCGGACGAGTGATCGATCGCTTTTGATAGGCAAAATAACTTGTTTTAACACCTTCGCCATCGATATACGCTGATGTATTGTAATGTACCATTACGGCGTGTAACTTCTTTTGATGCTTTCATAATACGCTTACATGCATCATAAATATCAAAGGAACTACTGCAGCAACATGATGAACTGGCGCACAAACAAGCAGAGAAGCGAAGGACGCCAACTATCCTGATGTGAAATAGGAAGTTAGTATGACGTTAACATACGTACATCATGAATGCGTTAATTCAACACATCGCGCATGCATGAATACAGATTTATAAATATCTCGTTGCTCAAATATATATCGTGTGAGCGTTACTTTAATTTAATTTTGTTGATACATTTCCCGATTTGTATATGTAAACATTTCATCTATTTTCGTTGCAATACGTTAAAGCGATATTCTACACACACCAAAGAAAATGAAATGCAATGAAAATCGATTATTAAAGATGTATAATATGGCGTAACCGTATTTAGCTTTATAAAGATTTAGCTAAAGATCACGTTGTATGTAACGTTACGGAAGACAGGAACAGCGTGGTTAGCAGCGCTAATTGTTCGAAATGCAACTATTACGTTTCAGCAAATTGATTTGGATTGCATAATCGGCTGTTGGCAGAGCAACCGTAACCAAGCCCTTGGCTTTATGCGGACAGATAACCACAGTTCGGCGGGTTCAGATGATTCAAATATCATAAAAGACGACATGGGTATGCTCGTCGGTTCAACCGCGGATCTTGGTAATTCTCTGTTGTGGACAATCGCATTCGCGAGAGTGATTTGCGCTATGGGCGCAACGGACTATTTGTCTCATCGACTACAAATAAAGAATTCATATAATAGCGAATAAAACAGAATTCTTTTACTCTCTCCTTGCCATTTTATTGTGTATTTTTTTTCTCTTGTTTGCTAAGTGGTAAAAACCGATATTTGTAATCCACTAAATTCTCGGAAAAGACTTGAACTAAGAAGACTTTCAACTTAATTAAGAAAGACTTCCAGATTGAATAATTGTGCGATATTCATTAAGGAACAGGATAAGGAAGAGTTAATCTTGGAGGGAAGTCATGGAGTGTCTGCATTAATGAAGTCTATTATTCCTCGGTCAGGAACTAACAAGTATCTACATCTCTCGTGCATAAATGTTTAAATGACAGACACATATACATAGCGTTCTTCACGTAATACTAAGATATATAATTAATATATATTTAATACATATTAATATATATTAGTATTTAAAATTCTTGTAATTGAGCTGATTGATCCGACTCTCCGCTAAGTGCCGTGATTTTGTTCTCCCCTAATAAAATCGCATTTTGTAACAGAGTCAGTCCGTACAGCTCCATTCCGTACAGCTAGTTCAGCCTTGGCGAATAAATGTTTGCAAAATTCTTTGTGAAAATTTGAATGTTGGGAAAATTTGTATCACTTTGAGTTTCCAGCTTATACTCAAAGAGGACCAAAAAGCACGTAGGATGAATTGATACCAAAGAAAATGTTGAAAGATAGAGAGCTCTGAGATATCTAAGTAATTTCGTAACAGGATGAAATTCGGTCTTACGACGTCAGATTAAAGCGTAACAAATTAAGAGGATAAAAATTTACAAGCAATGAAAAGCTTGCAGCAGCATAAAAAACCAAACATGCGCAGATCAAAAGAAAAGTGGCAACAAATTTTTAATGATATGATTTATTTGAATAAAGAAATGCATTAATTGGAATGACGATTATTTTGAGCGACTGCAAATAAATAAATCAATAAATAAATATAAAAGATTGTAAATAAATAAAGCTATGTTGCAAAATTTATCTGTATAATATTAACTGTCAGAAAAAAATTATTCTATTTTTCGATCAAGCTCACTGCGCTCTGTTAAAATTTACGCGCATTATCCTCATCCAAGCGGCCGCATTCCAAACGTGCGTTTGTCGATCGAAATACCATAAAAGCTCAAGCATGTCGACAGATCGACATTCATTATGTATCGGCAAACACGACACGAGTGGTCGGAACAGGGTGGACAGAGGGGTAACGAAAGGGTGAAGCGAGGGAAAGAATGGCGGGTGAAGAACGGTTGACGGGGCGGACAGAGGATCGGCATGGAGTTTAATCTGCTTTGGCTTGAATTTCAAAATACGCGATGGCTAATGCATATTGCCTTTGGCGCCGTTCCAAGTCGCCTATGCAGTCGAACACCCCTCTTCCCCTTTTGCGGCCTCGTTCTTCAGCGAGCTTCCCCACCACACACGTATGTGCCCTACTATACGGACCCCTGCCATCCCTTCGCGGCCAATGTAAACTCATTTTGTCATGCAGTAAACGGCGCGAAGCGTCGCCGTCTCCCTTCATCCCTTGTTAACTTCCCTATCTCTCCTCGATACGTCTATCTGTGTCTCTCTTTCTCGAACTCGCTCGCATATCCTCATTTCCTCGTCCTTCCTCGGGTAAATGATATTTATGCCATATTAATCGAAATATCTCCTTTATATGCGCCTGCATAACATCCTTCTCGTTCCTCTTACCGCCTGTGTCTGTGAGGATGCCCTAAAATTGCAGACGATCTCGTGGCTCGTTTGCAACCCCCCAGCGGTTGTCTGTGCGGTTGTCTTTTAGCGGACGCGGGTCACTGATGATCGACTGTATGCGACGAATCGATGTAGTTGCTCATTCAATTTATTCTATTAACCGAATTGCCAATATTGACCTGCCATTAATCCTATCAGCTTCTCATTATAAACATAACAAATAAACATCATACTTTATATGCGCAAAATAAAATAAACGCGCGTACGTATAATCTCTGTGTTAGTAACATATTTATAATATATTTATATAATTAAAAAACAAATCGCACTATTTTTTTCGACATTCGCGACATTTACGCACGTTATTCCCTAGATCGCAGAGAGATAATTTTGCGACGCTTAACATATCTAATTGCGCGAGGATGCGAATGCGGCGGAAGGCGGAAAATCGCTTAAACGAACAGAAGATTCGATTACTGACGATCCCGGTATCGTATTGAAATGCGCTTAACATACTTAGGATCGTTTGTTCCACCGCTCTGACTAGATCCGAATCAGTCTCATCACGGCTTACTCCCATTCCGGAAAACGGCCGAAAATTGCTTTTTCGCATGCACCTTCGCACTCGAGAAACGCCAGCCGATATTCCATTAGCTCGCTCTTCCGCGTCCTATCAAAAACGCGTTCTTGCTATTCTTACAAATAGCAAGAGATCCATATATAAAGAGATCCATTAAGTTATTCACTTATCGTATACATGTATATTTTATTTAAAATCGATCGTACCGCGTCGAAGAATAATATCGCAAATATTTTTCTTTCCCCGTTTTTCCGATTGTAAGGAAAACAGGAGCATCTAGCAAAGCAGACGACCGTGGCAGGAACAGATGGCCGGTGGCGCAGGGGTCATAAAATTTCTATGAAGAAGACTTGCTCGTCTTCGAGTATCTTACGACGTGTCGGAGCCGGAAAAGAACAAACGTTCCTCTCGGTGGTCTTCTGAACAACAAAACGGGCGCTTTTTTATCGCCAGCCGACAGCACAGTTCGATTCCACTTATGAAGGACAAGATTTCTTTTAAGCGCACTAAAAACCAGACGTCCTATTGCGAGTTACGCCCAATTCCTCTGCGAAGATTCTTACAAAATGCGATACATGCTAATATTTTTTTTTGCACTGTGTTGTAAATATATGTATGTAAATGTACATACGTATTGTAAATGTTTTCAATGTGTGCACGTGATTACATGTCGTATTTATAACGCAATTTTCCTTTGATTATGTAGAAATAACGCCACGAGCGTCACGTTTTCTCGTGGTTAACACGAGTAGTGATTTGCATTTGCAGCTAAATTCGCGAGATACGTGGCGCTTTCGGCCAAGTTCATGCGCACCGAAGTCATCAACGTATAGTGCGGAAACAGGAGCGCGTATATACGTTCGCCTAAAACATTAATTCACGACGCGCGCGATCGCATGGGAAGTAATATGTCTGCTAAACTATTCGCTTTTCCTTTGATCTCACGTGAGAGCGCATAAAGTACGTGGATTTTACGCGAAGCGTTATATATATATATATATATATATATATATATATATATATATATATACACAATATACTCTAGATGGAATATATATTTCTTGTAGATCGCACTTTGAACAAAATGGCGAAATAAATCATCGCACGCAAAACGTCGATCTGTTTGAGCGTGTTTGTCGAGCAAAAATGAAATTATTCGAGCGACGTCAGTCGCTGTAGAAGAGTTATGTGTCTAGTTTCATCATTTTCATTCTTTCTTGCATAATCTTTGTTTTTATTAAATGTATGAATATTTGCGCGCACTGATGCGACTATGACTTTTCGAAAACTCATCGCGCGGCATACACAGCGAAAATTCTCACGCATCAACGTGACTTTCGCGTAGCGGTTTATATGAAAACGTCGACTTGCAAAATATGTTTGCACAAGAAAAACTCAATTTTAAAACGTTGTTCAAGCGTAGTTTACAACGTGTAAACAAATACATTTCTATTAACGTCAGTGCGATCCGTGTTTTGTTTCATCTTTGTGAAAATCACTTTATCTTGGTACATCTCATTTGTACACAAATATTTTTTCAGAGATTTTCTTTTGCTAGTATCGCGAGTAATTATTCTCTTTCTTCTTTCCTCTTCACTTCTTCAAAGGTAGTCACAAAAAGCCATCGCCTCTAAAATCACATTTCGCATTATGGAAATCCACTTTTGAGATATTGATAAACTTTTTCCCGGAAAATAAACACGCATATTTATCACTGTTGATACGCGACCGAGCAATCCGTTATATTTTTCTACGTTGCATATCTGAAAATTCAGAGGATCGTCGTTTTTGATGCGCGTTCCCGGCAATTTTCCGAAAAAAAAAAAAAAAAAATCATTGCGTGCGCTCTTGCTCATCCGTTTATCGTGCCACAAAACGCTATCGGTCACCGGTGACAATCCATGAAAAATTGCCGAGGTGACAGATTGACGAACGAATAAGAAGCGTAATATCGAGCAGCAGTCAATCCTCGATCATAAGATTTCAAGAAATTGTAAGAACATCACAAGCTGTTAGCCCTGTGCTAAGTTTTCCTGCTTTCATCAATATTAAATTGCACGCCTCCGTCAGATAATAACCCACGCGGGAATTGTCAAGATTGTTGAAGCGACCTTACGTTTAGTCCAATATTGGCACAGCCAAGAATCGGCAAAATCTAGGCATATACAACTACTTTCTAAAATGAAATAAAAAAACACAAAACTTCAAAACTTCACAAACTTCTTTTTTATAGTCGATTCTTTTATGTGAACGATATAATACTTAACAAATGGTTAACATGTGATGGTATTGGTCGAGGTCATCGTTAACAAAGTCAAACAGAATAAATAGAGAGTTGGAAAAGAGCGAAATGGCCCATGAGCGCAGAAGTGCACGAATGAATAAATGAAGCGTAGAACGTGAACTGAATGCGAAAAAGTATGGATACGAACAGTTTTTGATACACTGCCTCTGGGATATACTGGGTGTCCCGCGAGAGCGACTTGGAGATATTTGCTCTGGAACCGTGACACTTGACTCTCCATGCGTATCCAAATGTTTTATAATATTGTTAAAAATCTCGTTTAATAGATATATACAGCAACAACACACACACACACACAGAGAGAGAGAGAGAGAGAGAGAGAGAGAGATTTTTTTATTTCAAAAGTGTATAGATTTCTGTGATATAGAATGTTGACTGTCAGAAAACACTCACTCAAGTACTCATGCCACTGAATTTGTTTCACATCGTAAGATAAAGTGGACAAAAACGTTAAAGTCGCGCGATCAAAGTCGCAAAATCGGCGAGCGAAGTTCTTGCTTGGCAACCGAGCGGAGAGCGGTCCATTAAGCGGTTCACTTCGCCGGCAAGTTCGCCGGCCATTCGTTTCTGCTAATGCACATCGCAAGACGAAGTTTTAATTCGACAAATACGACGACGGCGGCGGACACCCGATGCATTACCTACTTAAAGACAATAGCGTGGCCGCAAGCGTTTTCCGACAATGTATTACCGCTGGGCGGAGATACTTTCCCTGATTCCCTTTAAATGGTGGCGGTGGCTTTGTTTTTAATGCGCGTGACCCAGTTGGCCCAGCGCTCTACTTTACCCAATGCACCTATTCTACGAATAGCTCTAAACGAATTTTACGCGGTAGCATTCATGATTATCATCCCGAATGAATCATTCGAACGTCAGCTCGGATAAGCCCGGGTTCTTGTGCCTTCGTCGAATAATAATCAATTATCCCGGGGTAGCAACGGTGAATGTTCCGTGCGTGATATAAGCGTTTCTTTAACGAGAGACTCGATGTAACGTCGAACCATAAACCGTTTTACTGCATCTCGCAAGTAAAATTCGCGTTTAAACTACACAACGCGATGTGTATACTTATCGTCGTAAACAAAAATGCGAAAGTGTTTTTTACACCTTTCTTCCATTGGTTCATAAGCTATTCAGTCTGTTGCACACGGTACACGTAGGCCTCGCAAATTTATTAACGAATTAAAAAAGTAAATAAAATATTTAAATTTTATAAATCATTTTGTTTGTTTTTTTTCCATCCATGTTATGGAAATTAATAAAATTATACGCACTACGTATAATTTTTCAAGTTTCATTATTTCGATATCGCTTACAGATTTTGATTTTGCAATGGAAGCAGTGGCAGCGATCGATCTGAGATAATACTCTTTTTTTTATATTATGTATAACAAAATATAATTGCGCGATGGAAAACGCCTCGGCAGTGTGTGCACGTGGAGACGCACAGACCTGGATGAAAAGTGGAACACGAGAGAATTACGCCGTGACGAAGCGACAAAGCAGGTATAAGTGATCGATCAGTCCTTAGGTGTGCGGCACCATCTTTGCGACTGACCCCCCTTCCGGAGGAGGCGCGTTATATATTGTGCGGTTCGTGCTACATAATAACGTAGTCGTTGGGGATGCATCGCATAAAGGCGCCGCCGCGTCTACATACGCGCTAGAGACCGATTATGACCGGGTGCATGCCCGACAAAACACACATTCTCCTCGGCGTGTATATAAAAAGAGTTCATCTACTCGACAACGCTACAACAGCTGACGATATATCACGCGAGCGCAATGCATCTCTCCACATCGGAACACACTTATATGTATCGAACACTTTTAGCAAATTGAGTCTTTTTCGTAGAGTCTTTCCCCGTGTTATTGTATTATTTTCTCGCGACAGAGTTAATTAAAGAATTTACGAAAAAAATGGTATGCGACGCCGTAAGCTGCGTGCAATTTTTAAACGAAAATTTTTTAAACACAACGTGACGCGGATTATGTTTCGTGCTTTGTCTCTGTTTATTTTTTTTGTTTCGAGTTGTTTTGGTGATAAAAGTTTTTTTTTTATTTTATCTGGAGGTGGAGCGAGTACAAAAAATAAGAAAATTAAATAACGAAAATTCTGCTCAAGCTGGTAAATAATTTTCAGCGTGAATAAATCTGTGCGTCGCACCGCCGCGAGAAAACACACATCTAGGCTCGCTCTAAAATAATTCAGCGACACACACCGTGTTTTATCGATTAATTTGCAACTCAGTCGGAGTGTAAGAGCTGTCTTTGTAAACTGACCCGATGACCTGCAGTACATTATGTGGCCGCGCGTTTAACGTAGATGCAACACATAAACTATGTGACGGACGTTGCACGATGCGTTTATAAACTTTCTCACGCATGCACGCACATTGCGCTCTTATATATCGCCGTTCCCGCGGGTAGATTGCATACAAAATAATGAAAAACGATGCAGCGATGATAACGTTGCTACGTGACTACTTCTTCACACTTAACTAATTAACGTACGCGCCACGGCGTCGCTTTTATTGAAAAATAAATAGAATTGTGATACGCGCTATCTTGCTACACCGCGGAGTTGAAAGTATCTCGCAGATAATATATCGTGCGAGCTTTATAGCATTTTTTTGTTTTTCTGATAAATCAAACTTGCGCAAACGAGAGCAAAATATTATTCGACTTGAAAATGAAATTTAACGACGATATCTTTCATTTTTTCCCACAATAATCGCATTATTTTAAAACACACATCGCGGTAAGTTAAAGGGTTACGTTTTAAACACATCACTTTGCACTCTGATTAATCGATTAGCTTCATGGCGCATCGCGATCATATATTACTGTTTCGAGAGAGCCGACTCCGCAGTTTAGTATTATATTATGCGGTTACAGCCGTGCAAGGGCAACTATGTGAAACACGCTCGCATAATCGATACGTGCGATTTGGCATATTAGCAGCGTAAGCGTATACGGAATTTCCGCGAACAATAGCCAGTGTTGACAATATGCTTTATTAAAAGTTACACAAAAAATACATAAAGCTATCGCTACAATTTTTAACATCCGCAAACATCATTTGATAAAGTGTTACCGAGTCGTAATTATCGCGATTGCGCAATAAACTTTATATATCTTTCTCATTGAGTATTAAAATATAAACTTGTGTCAACTGTATGGTGCTGTATTGCAATCACAATATTTCATCATAAGAAATAAACAAAATCTCAAACAATCGGGAAAATATTTTAAAATCTTCTCTGTATAAAAATACAGTTATACGTATATATCTCATTAACTTATTTTGCTGTGACTGTATTTTTACTCAAAGAATGTTTCATATATTGCATACTCCGCTTTTGCGAGTATGTTTGTTTATTTATGATAATATTTTAATTTTAATTAAACCGTAGACAAAAACCATGAGATATATAATAGATACACAAGTAATTACTCCGACTCTCTGTGTCTTTTTCTTTTTTCCAAAATGTTTGCTTAAAATTATGTCATACGTAAAAAAACCTTTTTTGCATAAAATTTTGAAAAGCAATAATTATATTAAATATTTTATACGCTTGTATATTTTCATGACGTTACCTTAAGTAAAAGAATATATCGAGGTAAGTAAAGTATTTTAATCTGGTCATGCAGTAAATTCCAATACATGCAAGAATCAATTTTGCATAAGATTATTGAAACGCTTAATCACTTTGTTTGTTATTTGTTCAATGAGTTAAATATAAATATTGTTTTTTATTTATTTTCCTCGTTTCTGATTGTTGCATGTAAACATGTAAACTATTAAATTATTAATATATCTTAAAATATAATGTTATATGATATATAGTTTTCACAGATGTCTTTTAAAACGTAAACATAAAGCAGCCAAGTTTTGTTTCAAAAATACGTCTTTATTTTTAAAAATAATATTCTTTTGTCTTTTTTTTAAGAATAGACTTTAATATACGATATGAAAACAAATAAACATCATTTTCTATATAGAAAAATACGGTTTTACATTACCTGTTGTACATAAGGACATCAGGTTTCCACAGTCGATGCGGCGGTATTCTAAGATCTCTTACGCCTCCGTAATCCGACGCATTCCATCTCATGTTCACATCGTTCCATTCCTATAATTAAAAAAACAAAATAAAAATATTTAAATAATATATTTTGCAAAAATTACAATTAATAAATGTTATAAACTTTATCTCAAATATATTAAAAGTTAGAAATAACTCCGAATCGAATGAATTTTGGTTGAAAAATCTTGAAAACTACCATTTTACGCAATTATCATCGACATTAGCGTACGTCTCTTCAGATTTTTTTTACGTTCAAATCATTCTCGCTATTTTCACTCCAAGATGATGTTATCGCTATCGATCGCTTTTGAACACAAAATACTTAGCAACTTTTATTTTTTTGCACAAATATTTTAAATTACGTTGCGCGTAAGCACACTACAGACTATCAAATTAATTTTCGTTCAAAAAACTTTGCAAATCGAATCCTGTCCTTTTGCTATTGCACCACTACTTATGTACACACAAGACGCTTCCCCCAAAACGCTATTACAAACATCCCACTTTGTGCGCAAATGAATTATTTTTCTTATTTACGTATTACTTTATTTGATTTTCAAACTATCCCTACGTAATTTTGACGTAGCTTTTGACAAGAGTCTAGTAGCTTTTATAGTTCGTCAAGAAAAGAATACATTATGAAAGTTAATGTTAAAAGCTTCCAATAAAAGTTAATCTTCACTCTTATGGGTGGTCCAATATTCATCATTTTTCAATGCAAAGTTTAGCTAATATTTTAGCAACTTAATTATGCAGATGATCACTTTAGTATATAGCGGAAAACGCATTTGAATCGGTCACTGGGTATGATGTCGTGTTACGTATTTGTTAATATTCTTCCCAAAGTTTTCTCCGCAAAAAAACACATTTTCCGAACAACCTCCCTTACAAGTTTACGCGGTTCCTCCAAAACGATTTAGGAACTTGGTAGTATACGTGGTTCGGGGGATTCCTCACTCTTCGAATCTCTGTAATTCTTTCTCTCTTCCTTCGACGAAGCGGAAATGAAAGAGACAGAATCGATCTGGCCGTAACAGGTCGTTGCGCGTGTATTTTTGTGTCCGGATCTATTTTTCGTTTCCGAGAAGAAATTATTTTGATCGCGTGACGGATCATGTCAAAGTTCTTTTCAAGAAAAAAGAAACACGTGACGCCCAATAGCATTTCCAAATAATACTATTTACATAGCAAGCGCGTATCAGACTCAAATGGTTTTTTCGCCTTGTATATTCGCCTCAATTAGTTAGGGTAAGTCCCAGATGCGCACAAAATCAATCGGACACAGTTCCAATCGAACACAGTATTAATCGGACACAAGTTGAAACTTTTTGTTTGTGTTGTAAGCGTGTAGGCAGTGTAGGCTTCGCCTTTCTGCAGGAGAGGAGCGTAGCCTCTCCTCTGCACCTCTCCTTCGCTTTGCGTAAAAAGTTGAAACCTATGTAGAACCTTGCTTCAGGTTTATCCACGTTGCTTGTCAATGTACGCTATTACTATGTACGCTGCGAGCGTACGTTGACAAGCAACGTAGCTACAACTGAAGCAAGGTTCCACATAGGTTTCTATGCAAAGCGAGAAGGAAAAGGTGCAGAGGAAGGACGCAGCCCTCTTCCTGCCTACACGCTTACAACACAAAAAGAACATAAAAAAAAAAAAAAAAAAAAAAAAATAGTCTTGTTTTAATACAATACTATGTCCGATTGAGACTGTCGTGTGTCCGTTGCTTGATGTGTCCGATTCGGGCTGTGTCCGATTGAAACTGTCGTGTATCAGTTTCAACTCGTGTCCGATTGAGTCTGTGTCCAATTGACATATCCTGCTGTCCAATTTATTTTGTGCACATTTGGGACTTACTCGATTAGTCACTGACCCCGATTGATTAACTGCTGATGGAGCGCGCCGTCGTGAGATAATTAATAACAGTATGCGCGACTCGGCGTCGCGCAAACAGCGGCTTTGCTGCGGAATTGCCGCGCATATTATTGTTATATAATCAACTTCAGATGCGGGAAGTTGACGTTGCTGATTGCTGCAGCTTGATTTTTTTTTAATTATAAAAATACTCTTTCTTTGATAGCTCTGAAGAAAATTAAACAAAACTAAACGTAGAAGAAGGAAAACATTTTGTCGACCGCAGAGCTCGAGCCCTTCTCGGTTTTCCTGCGAGCCATGAACGATTCGACTTGACGACGGCTCGTATTTTTCTACGCGATATCTTTCCTTATCGTTCTATGAAAAGCATGCAATGATCCGTCCGTCTTTCTACGGACAAGACAAATACCGGCAATCTCATTTCGCACTTTGCGAACGTTTCTCAAGAATGCGGCTCGCGACGAGAGCCGGTAAGTCTTGGATGCAAAAGTAACCGGATACAGAATAAAAGTCACGGGGTCGGAACCGAGTGGAATTCCGTTCTCGAAGCTGTGATTTCGCGAGTTACGGAAATTCCAAGCGAGGCGGCTTTCGAGATGAACGCCATTTACAAACCGCGTCTTTTGAGACGCGACCTATTTTTCGAGAAGCAGTATTTTTTACGAAAAAAAAGAACATTTCGATTTATCTGTCTTAAGAAAAAGTACTCTTGAAATTGTTACTATGTAATTCGCGCGTTACTATGTAATTTCAATTCCAATTCTTTTCGGTCCGCAATGCGCGTACAAAAATTCTCCTTTGGAACAAAATATAATTTCTTACTGTATTATTAATTTCCAATTAATCTTAATTACTCTGTAAGAGAAGCGACTGTTTGCTACTGATTCGTCGAGTTGTTAAATCGCGTGTTTGAAACCTAGAAGTAGCTCTGATAAAAGACGAGCGTAAAACGACTAGGTGACGGTAACGACGGAAAGCTATAAAACCTAACGGTGTCGCAAACATCACGGTGTTTTTCATTTTATGAGCACGATGTTACATGAACTGTAAGAATACAAAAAAGGTAGATAAAAAAAAATACATAGAATTATAGTAAGATAAAACGGAAATAATATATAAAATAAATCAAATAGAAAGGAACGAAAAAAGGCTCTGATAAAATCTCATAAAAGTAAGGACAAAGGGCCAATAAGAGCCTGAACACGGATGTTAGTGTGTGAAAATTAGGAGTTTATTTTAAATATTAAAATCGTTACGTTTCGATCCCAGGTGTGGATCATCTTCAGACAATACCTGGTGTAAAACCACCAGCAATAAAATACAATACTCTTATCGACCGGTTTAAGAGACTTTAATTCTGAGCGATCGGTTTTAATATTGTTAACAGATGTCTCTGTCTGTGTGTACTGAGTTTGGTTTGAAATTATTTACCGTTTTGTGAGCATTTGACTTTCAGCATAGAAGAGTAACAGTCGTATTAATTTTATCAATTTACTAATTTTGGACTGCGTTCGACATGTGAAAGTCTTTTGACATCTAACGTATTAACAACTTCGTAAGTTTTTGTAGTTCGTTGTTTTTTGTAATCTTAAATTTTTCTTTTTTTATACATTTGTATTTTATTGCTGGTGGTTTTGTACAGGCATTGTTTGAAGATGATTTAAATCTGGGATCGAAACGTAACGATTTTAATATTTAAAATAAACTCTTAATTTTCGCACACTAACATCCGTGTTCAGGCTCTTATTGGCCCTTTGTCCTTACTTTTATATAAAATAAACACATAAAAGTACACGAAGTGTGTACGTTTGTCTGCGCAATAATTTATACGTCTACATAAACGAAAAGTGGAAACTTCCGTGTAGCTTAGTGATTTGCATGTTTAATATGTGTGCATATTATATAATTTCTGCTACTGCGATATTCATAAGTCTTAAGTTTCCTCTCTATATATTCGTCATGGCATTATCAATTCTTATACGATGCAACTAAAGAAACTCGCGACTGTATATTATATTTTCTCGCTAGAACATTTTGTCACCGAGAAAATAAAACCTTTATTTTTTCGTTTGCGAATTTTCGTATATTGACATGACCTTCGTCTTTGCAAGGCAACGCAAACGTATAGAAACGTTTTACGAGTTTGAAGGAAATATCTTTTATGATCCACATCCATTACCAGCCCAGTTGCGCGGGACAGCTATACTCAGTCTTAGAAGAAGCGTTCCGAACGGGTGGCGCAGTAAAAATTGAGCATGAAATAGCACACAATCATTCGTTCTGTAACAACAATTACTTATCCGGGCGATATAACACAGCGTCGAGGTATTATCTCGCGCGAGACACTCAGCCAGTGGTGGATCAAGACAAACGAGGAAGCTTAATCGAATCGCAAGCCAATTGCGAATTCTTTTCTTCAGGAATCCGCGCTTTTTTGGCACGACACGAAGACCAAGGGTGACAAGGACAAAGGTGTTCTTCCGAAGATTTAATCGCGCATCTATGTTTTAAACTCACGAATCGGGAATTTTAGTAATTTCGATTACCATCGTGGCTCGGATTCGCGGAATCCCGATTGCTGTTTTATTGTATAAGACCAGAAGAGAGTGAGCAGTACGTACTTGTCACAAAAGAGCCAATTTTGATACCCACCTTGATGCGCAATTTCTGAGTGGGTCTAGGAGATCCACGTCTGACTACGAAGGGTTAACTTTATAAATAAAAAAGACAATCACTGTTAATTGCATGTTAAAAAGTATAAATTATCATGTAAAGAAATAATCTCTCACTTTCATCAAAAGTGTTTTGAAAAATATCAATTGTTTAAAAAGTTATAGCAGTTTTTTGAACGCAATGTAACGCAATTGAGCGAAAATTTCGCGAATTCCCTTCGAATATCCGCGTCAAATTCTGCTTAAAAAAAAAATGCCCCGGCCAAAGTGTTTTAACATGAGTTTGCGAAAAAGAAGCGGAAAAAGTAGAAAAAATAAGAAAATATACAATATTTTGTGCAACATATATCGATAACACGTTAAAGTCTCTAGCAGATTATTTGTGGAGCAAGATGATAATACCTACTATAGACCGCGATCGTTCCGGTTTGTATTCGCAAGATGCTAATGGAATTAATGACCGCATTGCTATGCGGTTGAGTTCTCGATTGGAAACCTCTTAAA